TTGGCTGTCAGTACTTCAGGATTGATCAATATTCAGATCTATACCATAGTTTGTGAACTCTATAACCTTCCTACAAACTAAATAATACATCCTAATTTGGGTTATTTTCACCAAAGACATGTAGCAGAATAAATTTTGGCCTAAGTTTATGAAGAACAATTATTTATTTGTAAACTTTTATAACAGAAACAAAGAAAACGTGGTTTTTTTTTCAAAATTTTTTTGTTAATTTAGCTTTAAATGAAAGCTTAGTTGAAGAAAATTATAAAATTTTAGTTTGGGTAGTGTTGTACTGTTTCAAAGTATCACTTAAAAGTTATGGACACCACTGCATTTTTGAGCACCTATCTTTGGGGACATAAAGGATTGTTCCTGAAAGACCTGTGAAAGCAGAGGATCCAATGGGATTCATATTGATCACATTTGGTCATGTTTTCCATGTTAGGTGGGCATGCCTGAAGGTGGAGGAGCACGATAGCACACCTGTTGGCACTGGAAATGTTGGAAGAAAGAGACTGTTAGCTGCACTTCTACCATTCACCATTTATGGGGCAGCACAGGCAGTTACTTCCGCCTGGCAGTACTAGTCGCTGGTTCAAATCCCAACCACCTATCTGGAGTTTGCATGTTCTCCCTGTGACGGCGTGGGTTTCCTCCGGGTACTCCGGTTTCCTCCCACACTCCAAAGACATCCTGGTAGGTTAATTGGCTCCTGTCTAAATTGTCCCTAGTATGTATATGTATGAATGTGAGTTATGGACTTTAGATTGTATGCCCTTTGAGGGTTAGGGACTGATGTGAATGTACAATATATGTATGTAAAGCGCTGCGTAAATTGACGGCGCTATATAATTACCTGAAATAAATAAATAATCTGTTTTTGTACATTCGGCAGAGCAGCTTATCCTTTTTTTTTTTTTTTCCTTTTTCTTGGGTCACTAGGGGGCAGAGCAGCACTATTAGTAGGGATTCTTTTGCTTCCGCTGTGTGATGAGACTCCTAGCTAACAGGTGGGAAACCTCACTTCCTGCGCTGCTAGTAATACGGAGTCATGTCAGAGCTTACTGAGCTTCACAGAGGGTAAATAGCTGGTGCGTCTGTGACTGAAGTTGCCAATGTATTATTTGCCGTTGTGTGAGGTACAGTATCAAAGTTTATGACGGCACATACAGTTTCCGGGAAACGCCGTCTGATAGTACAAGTGTGGTCGACATGGTCAACTGACCAAAAGAGACAAAAGGACAGGATTGTGCAGGATTGTGACCCGGAATAGGAAAACAACTGCTGTTAATGGGACTGCAGAGCTCAATCCCAGTCTGTTTATCAGACGTTTTCCTAGAAACTGTATATGCTGTCATAACCTTTGATACACAACCTCGCGACACGACAAATAAATTGGCATCTTCAGTCACAAAGTCACCAGCTAAGCAGGCACCAACAATTTGCTCTCTTTGAAGCTGAGTAAGCTCTGACATGACTCTATATTACTAGCAGTGAATGAGGAAAGTGAAGCTTTCCACCTGTTATCTAGGTGTCTTATCACACAGCAGAAGCAAAAGTTTGTTACATCAATTCTGCTTTCAACCTGAAACATGTGGCTACTTTAACACTTACAAATCATGTCGTGTTTCCATTTTTTTTTGTCTAACATATGTATCTCTGGAGTGCATGCATATTTCCCCTTTTTTTCCATGCTAAACACTACAATACAGAAAAATACCTGTTAAACTGCCTTTTACCCAATGAGGGCCTTCCTTTCTGTGTGAGCTGACAGTGCTGCCTTTGGGCTTATACAAAATAGATATTTTCTTTTTTTTCATAAGGTCCCTAACTCACATTCATACATATATTAGGGCCAACTTAGACAGCAGCCAGTTAACATAGCAGCATGTCTTGTGGAGTGTGGGAGGAATTCCACGCAGGTACAAACCTGCAAACTCCAGGCATATAGGGTCATTGCTGGGATTCGAACCAACAACCCTAGTGCTGCTAGGCAAATTTGCTAACCGCTTAGCCACTGTGCTGCCCAGTGGATCGACAGATAATCCTGCATTTAGATGCGGCAGCCTGTAAAACTCTGAGATTCTGACAGCTCCTGCAGCTGGATGTAGCTGGACAATGCAATGAGTTCTACTTACATTTAGGACAGTATGCATCCAGGGACAAATGTCCGGTGCTCAAGCCATCTGTGTTGTGAGCATTTGTCCTGGGTGCATATTGCCCCAAACATTAGCACAGACCGGAGCACTATGCAGCAGCAGTAAACTCACTACCTGTGTGAAGGAGGCCTAATTGTGTAAGATCAGACAGACAAAGTTTTTCCCAGCCTAATCTTTGATTTTTCAGTATACAGCCCTGCAGGGCCATTTCTTGTCCGGAGCCAGGTACAATATTTGGGCTATAGACTGAAAATGGGTACCAAGACAGTAGGGCTCATTTATGCGAGCTTCACCTTCTAAATAGCAATTCACGGTGGAGAGCTTTTCAGAGGGTGTTTAACAGGCTGTAAGAAGGCGTATGTTGCACCGTGGCACACTTTCAGATCCATTCAGTTGAATAGATCATATTTGGTTGTGTTGTCTGCAGAGTGGGATGAGGGGATTTTTTTTTTCTGTGTTGTGATGCAAAGTATTTCAGTTGCAGCATGTGTACAACCTCATCTGCTGCCTTTACAGGGGGAGTGGTTGGGGGAGGTAAAAACAAGGCTAGGTTTTATCACCCACCAGCTGAAAGTGTAAACAAAGCCTAATCTGTCAGTCCTGTCTGAGCACAGGAAAGGGCCGTACAGATAAGACAAATCATTGTCTTCACCTCACTGGGTAGAGAGATGAAATCTGCTCCAGGGGAGTGTGGTGTGACAATGGCGTAGGCCAAGAACATGACTAGGTGTATTTATCCTATAACTTGATATCTTGTGTCACTACAAATGTCTTTCATGGCAAGAAAGGGCATGTTTTTCTAGCTGAGAACAAACGCAAGTCGCATGGTCAGCAGCCTTTCATGTATCAACAAACTGCACAGCTGAAAACCTCCTCGTATGTGTCAAGCATCTTTCCTGATGCCTGCTCTAGCCAGTGCAGATCATGGTTCTCGTCTCCAACAGTATAAACATTCATTGTTATGAAGAGAAATATTCCCTGTGTTAAATTACTCTCATTATTCTTTTATATAGGCTGAGAGGTAAGACAGCACAAGGCCTTTGTGGAGATCCTGTCCCTGGTATGCTGACTGTGAATAGCTGAAGACTAAGGCAGCACACAACGTCTCGATGAAGGACGTTCATTCTTTGCCAGACACCTTGACAGCTGTGACACTTGAACATAGCCTGTCAACAGAGGTAAGACATGCTGTGTGTAATGCACATTTCCATCATACAATTATTATAAATGTACAAACACTGGCCTTTCCTTTGGGGTAGAATGATTTGCAGTCATTTATTATCACACAGTTGTTTGTCACCTTTTTAAATCATAATGATATCAGAAATCACCAAATGGCCCTGATCAAAAGTTTACATACCCTGGGATGTTTGGCCTTGGTACAGACACACAAGGTGACACACAGGATAAAATAACTAATAAATAAAAGTTAATTTCTCAAATCTGCGGCTTTTTAAATTACAATTAGCGTATGTGTATTAATAGTCAATGAGTTAGCTTTCACATGGATGCACTGAGCAGGCTAGATACTGAGCCATGGGGAGCAGAAAAGAACTGTCAAAAGGCCTGCGTAACAAGTTAATGGAACTTTTTATAAAGATGGAAAAGGACATGCAAAGATATTCAAAGCCTTGAATATGCCAGTCAGTGCTGTTAAATCTTATTAAGAAGTGGAAAATTCAGGGATCTCTTGATACCAAGCCAGTGTTACCAAGCCAGCTTAGTTAAAGCCCCCCTCCTGGACGCCACATTTATGTTGTTATGCTGTCGTAAAGAGGTTAAAGTGTAAGGGATTAGAACCACTGTTAGGTTTTATTGCTGTTTGTATACCTGATAGTGAGATTCACCCTCTCTAGATCTTCTGATCACCAATGTAATGGGGAATAAAAATGAGAGTAAACCCAATTGGGATGCTTGTTCCCAAGACAGCTTGGAAAGGTAAGCTCTTACTTCCTCTTGAGTTCACAGGAAAGGAAGAAAGAGGAAATCTCCGTAATGAGACACAGATGGCAAAAAAAAAAAAACAGACAGTAGTTTTAACCATCTCCTACTGTATGCAAAATAGAAAAAAAAAACGTATTTGTTTAGATATAGTTAAAGCCTAAATGTCCAGCCTAAATATATCCACTTCAGTGTGCATCAGTTAATGCGACTCTATAACCGACATGATGATTTTATTTACTGCACTTTTAATAAAAACTCTGCTCATGGTTTTTATTATAAGCTGAAAAAGGACAAATATGTAGAAGATGAAATTTAATTTTACAAAAAACAGGTTTAATGTATATAAATTGGTATGATATGAAATACTGTACTCTTTGCATGATCAGGAACCATGCTGATTTGTTGCTGATCATTGGTCTGACACTTGTAGCAGACAGTGTCATCGCACTCTTACAACCAGGAGCGTGCACACATGCAAGGCGGAATGCAGGTTAAAGTTCCCACAGTACAGAGAACTGTACCTCAGAGCGTTAATCTACAGATAATGAGTGACTGATAGTTAAACACAAAATGCAGCAACATGCCACCATTCACCACAGTGTAACTGATGTTTCTCAAATCCATGTGGACTAGCATAGGAAAATATATATATTGAAAAAAAAAATCGATATTGTATTTTTTATACAAATTAAGTTGTTTGTTCCTTTTCTGTGCTGTCATATAAAATGGCCTAATTCTGTGCTTACTAACATTTTGCTGTTTATCCTGCCTACATAATTAGTGTACATGAATCATGCAAATACATGTTTATATGATTGTATGTTCTTTAAAGCTTTCTTGCAGAAATAATTTGTTAGTAATGTGAAAGACTTTTTTTTTCAGGTCAGAATTTAGAAGATGGAAAAATCGCGGTCAAGATCCCCTAGGTGGAAGGCCAGGTAAATAAGAACAGATGGTTTATATACTGTATGTGTACAATGCATAGTGACAGGGACTCCCCTGACATTCCATACATTATATATCCAGTGAACCATCTGCAGGTCAGGAAATATAGTTACATTTTGCAATATATTCTCTAGGGTCATCAGCTGTGTAAATTAACAATCCTAATACCGTGCCTAGTGCTAGCTGTCAGAAACTGTTGCCATCTAGGTGTACTATTAAAAACAACATTTTAATGGTCAGAAACAAGTGCACTCACAAGGAAAGATGTGACTGGGCATGTATAACTCTGTAAAAGGAGATGGAGGCTGTGGGCCCGCTGACAGGATTGTTCTGGAGGCTCCCAAGGCTTCCTGAGATGGCCTGAAGAAGGAGCACATGCTCCGCAATGCGTCGCCATTTTTGGTTGTCATTTCCGGTTGTGACGTCACTTCCGCCTGCCTTGCTGCATTCCATGCCGATCAGGAAGCCCTGGGAGCCTCCAGAACATCTTGTCAGTGGGCCCACAGCCTCCATCTCCTTACGGTTTGGGACTGGTATTGATGATAGCCTTTTACAGAGCTATACATGCCCAGTCACATCTTTCCTTGTGAGTGCTATTGTTTATGACAATTAAAATGTTGTTTTTAATACTACACCTGGACGGTGCTTGTTTTCCCTTTCTCTTGGTTTATTTACAGAGTCATCTCCTGCTCTAATTTACAAGCTGACTCCTAGTGGACATATCGACCTCATTAGGCCTTTTGGACTTCTTTATTTTGATCCATTTATTTGATCCATTTGATCATTTTTGCCTAGTAGCGCTCAATCTGTTTATCATCTGCCATAAACTATTACATATCAGATCACTTTTATTTCAATGCTCCTAATAGGAATTAAAAAAACTGCTTTGCACCCTTTGTAGCTATAAGAGCTTCAGCTCTTCTGGGAAGGCTGTACACAAGGTTTAGGTGTGTCTATGGGAATGTTTGACCATTCTTCCAGAAGCGCATTTGTGAGGACAGGCACTGATATTGGATGATCCCAAAGGTGTTCTTTAGGGTTGAGGTCAGGACTCTCTACAGGCCAGTCAAGTTCCTCCACCCCAAACTCGGTCATCCATGTCTTTATGGATCTTGCTTTGTGCACTGGTGTGCAGTCATGTTGGAACAGGAAGAGGCCATCCCCAAACTGTTCCCACAAAGTTGGAAGCATGAAATTGTCCAAACTGTCTTGGTATGCTGCTGCCTTAAGAATTCCGTTCACTGGAACTAAGGGGCCAAGCCCAACCCCTGAAAGACAACCCCACACCATAATCCCCCCTCCACCGAACTTTACACTTGGCACAATTCAGTCAGGCGAGTACCGTTCTGGCAACTGCCAAACCCAGACACGTCCATCGGATTGCCAGACAGAGAAGTGTGATTCGTCACTCCAGAGAACACGTCTTGCTTTACAGCACTACATCCAATGCTTTGCATTGCACTTGGTGATGTAAGGCTTGGATGCAGCTGCCATGAAGCTCTCTACGCACTGTTGTGCTAATCTGAAGTCCACATGTAGTTTGGAGGTCTTTAACTATTGACTCTGCAGACAGTTGGCAACTTCTGCGCACTGTGCGTTTCAGCATGCGCTGACCCCTCTCATTTTACGTGGCCTACCACTTCGTGGCTGAGTTGCTGTTGTTCCCAGCTGCTTCCAATTTATTATAATACCACTAACAGTTGGCCATGGAATATTTAGTAGCAAGAAAATTTCATGATGGCCTTATTGCACAGGTGACAACCTATTACGTTACCATGCTTGAATTCACTGATCTCCTGAGAGCGACCCATTTTCTTTGTTGAAGCAGTCTGCATGCCTAGGTGCTCCATTTTTCTCTCATTATGTTTTTATTGGGTTTTATACAAAAACATACAAAGAATGTAAAGAACAGTATACATTCAACACATAAGAATATATTGTAACGTTGAGATTCAAGTTTCCAGATGTGAATCCTAATTATGGATTGGATATACAACAGCAACATATTAGTAAGAATGAACTATAGCTTAAACCTGGTACGGAATATGATGAGTAGTTTATCTATTCAGATATGGAGAGGGAATTATTGGAGAACCAGTCTGTCGCAAATGCTATGTCTGCCAAGGTTGCCATAATTTGAGAGCAGTGCTATACTTCCCCATGCTTGACGCAAAAAGTATTTTGTAAGTGCTGTGGGTATGGGTCGTTTGGATAACTTCTCCAAAGTCTGGAACCTTTGGGTCCTTCCAATGTCTAATGATAGTAAGGTGGGCTGCTATCAGTATATGTAATATTACAGTTCTAAACATAAGAGGGGTAGAGTCTATTCCTAATGATAATAGTGCCATACCTGGAGTGGATGGAATATTCACTCCCAAAAGTTAGGTGATAAGATGGAAAATCTTAGACCAGAATTTGGAGAGCCTTGGGCAAGACCATATAATGTGAATTAGGGTTCCTGTGCATCCACAGTTCCTCCAGAAAGTCGAAGATATTTCAGAAGAAAATTTAGATATCAGATGTGGAGTTGAGGACCATCGTAGCAAAGGTTTTTGTGTCATTTCCCATATATTCACACTTCTAGTAGCCTTATATGTGGAGCCCAATGCTCTCTTCCACTGCTCAATGGAATACTCCCTTTTCCTTTTCCTTTTCCCTGGCCACTATTGGGGGGTATTTGACAAACTCATTTTTACCTTGGAGAAGAGAGTAAAGTAGGGAAATGCCCTTAGAATTTGTAGAGGTTGATTGGTAGTATTGGGCTACTTGCCGTGCAGTGAGATATTCAGGTTACGAGTTTTTCTGTATAAGATGAGTAATTTGTACATATTTGTAGAATTCAGTGGCAGGAAGAGAGTACTCCAGGTGCAGTGTCCGAAAGGATTTAAGAGCAGGTCCAGCACATAAATCATCCAAGGTTAAAATACCTCTGGAATGCCAAATTGTACGATTTATTTCAGGTATAAGGAGCGCTAGGGCTACTATTGGAAATTTTACAGAAGTGAGGTTTTTTTTCATAAATGAGGCTTTGCACAAATTAATCCATGCTTCTACTGAAGTTTTTTTATCTCTATGAGTAATATGGTATGTTGATATTAATTATACAGGTTCCCCCCTGGCACTTGAAGTTGTTCCATTTCTGTCCATAGAGTATCAGGAGAGGAAAAAACACTTTTTTAAGTTGAGCAAGAATGGAAGCCAAGTACAAATCGCGCAGGTAGGTATGACCCATGCCTCCTGCTTGTTTAGATTTAATAAGCTTGCTGAAAGCACAGTTTGCTTTCTTACCCTGCTAGAAGTATTTATTTAGTATAGACTGTAGGGTTGAGAAATAGGAATTATATACAGGGATAGGTAGAGTTCTGAATAGGTAAAGTAATTGTGGAAGTATCTGCATTTTGAAGGCTGCCAACCTTCCTGACCAAGACATTTCGCATAGGGCTATTTTATTTAATTTGTGGCGAAAGGAGTTTAGGAAGTGAGTATAGTTTTCCTCAACAAGGTCATTAGTTCTAGGAGTGAGGGTAATGCCTAAATAGGTAATCCCTCTATCTTTCCACACTTATGGGAAAGTAGTTTGGAGGATCTGTTTGGTTTTAGCAGGTACTTCCAAATCCAAAACATATGATTTTGTCTCATTCACCTTATCATAAAACACTTTATTAAAGAGTTTCAATGCTAGGTGTACCGAAGCCAGTGAATTTTCCACATCTGTGAGCATCATTATGATATCATCTGCGAAAGGACTAATAGTGTGCATCTTATCCCCTAGCAGGAAGCCCTTTATCTGCAGATGCGTGCGTATATATAGCCATGGGTTCCATCAATATGTTCAAAATAAACGGGGGAAAGAAGGCATCCCTGCCGAGTTCCATTAGATATAGTAAATGGAATTGACAGCATGCCTGACACATAGACTTGGGCTGAGAGGTTAGCGTACACTGCCATTGAGGCTGAGTAAATTGGGCCTTGAAATCCGAAATTGGTAAGTATCTGTGCCAGATATTCCCAGTGTATTCTATCGAACACTTTTTCCGTGTCCAGAGCCAGGAGCAGAGAGGGCATTCTGTTCTTATTAGCTAGATGTATAATATTGATCAGGTGTTTGGTTGCGTCTGTATTTTGGTGACCTTTTGTAAACCCAGATTGATCTAAATTGATAAAGGAGGGTAAACTATCGACTAGTCTATTGGCCACCAATTTTGCATAGACTTTTAGTTCGTTGTTTAGCAACGAAATGGGGTGGAAATTCTATGATGGGATGTGGTAGATTCCTTCCCCGGCTTCAGTAGTTCAACTATTATTGCTTTGAGCATTTCGGAAGGGAAAGAGGCGGAGGCAGCGGCATGGCTATATACTATACCTTCTTCAGATGTGGGGTAAGAATGTGTTTAAAGGTTTTATAGTGTTCCCCAGTCAAACCATCCGGACCTGGTGATTTGTTGTTAGGCAGAGATTCAATAGTATGGATGATTTCATCATCCGTAAAGGGGAGATTAAGGTTATTTAGTTGATCCTCTGATAACTTGGGAAGGTGAATTGTTTTTAAAAATTTGCTAATGTTTTCAACTGTAGGTTGGGAAATGTTAGGATCCTGGTTGAGATTGTAGAGGGAGGTGTAGTATTGACTAAAGGCGTTGGCTATAGCTTGGGGATTAAATAATTTGTCTTGTTTGATTGGGTGAAAAATAAAAGGTATTTTGGTTTTATATCTATGGCCCCTAAGACGATTAGCTAAGACTTTACCTACCTTGTTACTGCTTGCGTAACATGACATTTTTAACCTTCTAGAGGCTTTTTCAAAATGTCTAGTAAAACTAGTCTAAGATCATATTGTAATTTTGTCAGTTGATCAGAGAATGATTTGGAAGGGGAGGTTTTGTTTTTTTTGTTTTCTAATGTATGGATTTTTGTAATGGTATCTTGTATAAGCCTCTATCTCTTAGCCCTTGCTCCTAATCTAATAAAGATATCTATTATAAAGGCCTCATGA